ATTCCTGTCCATGGGATCATAATTTTCTGTCCATGGGATCATAATTTTAAATCATAATTTAAAAGCTGCATGTGGTAAGCTTCCTAGTTTCAACAAGGATGTTAAAGTGTGAATCAGAAACAGAGAACAAAAAGATTCTGTCATTGTAAACCTCAAAATGTTGTTTATTAAAAATAACATAATCTGAACTGGAATCCATGATTTAATGGATGAGTTTTACAACAATTCTGAATTTCAAGCCAAATTGATAAAAATCATTAAGGCAAGTTGAAACTTTGGCTGCATTTGCACTTCTGAAGTAATGCAGTTGGACACTGCTTTAACTGTCATGGCTCAATGCTATAGAATCCTGGAATTTGTAATTTGTTGCACCAATAAAGCTCTCTGACAGAGAAGGCTAAAGATTGCACAAAACTACAAATCCCAGAATTTCATAGCATTTGAGCCATGGTATTTAAAGCAGTGATGAACTGCATTATTTCTGCAGTGCACATTGGATTTTTATCAAGACAGATATACTACATTGTTTTAATTACAGTCTAAGCAGTACCTTGAAACTTACTAAGGTTTTTGTGAACTAGGAAAGGAAATATTATTCAAAATTTTATTCAAATATTATTCAAAAGTATAATATTGTTAACACTTGTTAAGTGTTGGGACACCTGACAAGGAGAAATCTGATGAGATTTGTTCAGTGGTATGAAAAGCCACTGAGATATACAAAAAAATAAACAGGATAACACATCACCTGCCTCTCACCTGAAGTAGATCGCTGATCAGGACAGCTAAGTCTTTTTTTGATACTTCATGCTGTACTGAAAACAGACTGAAATGGATCCAGATAATCTGTGGTTTTCAAGAAAAGCCTGTGTATTGCTTCTTAGGTACCCTCTTCCTGCTTCTACTGAGTAGAATGGGACTTCCAGAAAATACTTATCTGTCTACCACCACCCATTAATTTGGATTACCATTTTATAGCAATGCAATAGGACATTGCTGGGATTCCACTGGCACTTCCCATTTCTGATGCCACAAAGAAGTTCCACAGCTTGAAGATGTCCAGTCATCATATAAGCAGGCAGATATCCCAAAGGAAAATGTTAGCAATAGGTCAATAGGTCTCACATACCACATTTATAATTTCTTTTCCACATCATATCTATGGCTTGTGTTATCACCATCAAAGATCTCAAATTCCAAAGCAGAGACACATCTCCCACCAGTCTTGTTGGTAAAAATCTGAGAGGTATTGAATCATTCTTTTTCTCACATTCATTACACTACACTACCACATCCAGAAATACTATTCATTTCTTACTAGAGTGCATCACAGAAAACCTCTATATTTCTAGTTGGCAGATACATGAAGAAAGGTATTACAGAATAACCTTTCTTGCTATTTAACACATACATACTCTGACTTACCCATTCATCCCATTAAATAGATTAAGATGTGTCCAAATGATCTCAGACAGTTTTGTTTGGCTCTTGTTGAAGTCTGGGTGCTTAATGCTTTTGGTGTAATGTGTTGAGTTCAATATCCAAATAGAGAGCCTCTTCATTTTGAAAACTAGGCAAGCCATCTGAAAGCAAAGCAGAAAAGCGTATGCCTTCTGCTTATCTCATTTTTCTTATAATGTATGAACAACCTCACAAAATGGTATGAAATAGGAAGAGTTTTCCTAGTCTACCAGACTAGGAAGGTTCTACAGCACCACTAGTATGTAGAACTAAAATTGAAATAATAAAAAATAGAACATATATGGTAATCAGCTGATAAAGTAATGAATTATACAAGACCAAGTATAAATAGATACCAATAGTAAATTGCTATACAGTGCTGCCTTGCAGTTCCATTTATGTTAAAGGGATGTGGGAATCATTTTGAAATATATTTATTGTTGTGTGTCTTCAAGTTGTTTCTGATTTATGGTGACCCTAAGGCAAACCTATCACAAGGTTTTCTTGGCAAAATTTGTTGAGAGAGGCTGAAAGTATGTGATTTGCCCAAGTTCACCCAATGGATTCCATGGCTGAGCAGGGATTTGAACTCTCATCTCTAGAATTATAGTCCAACACTCAAACCACTACACCACACTGCCTCTCTCGGAAATATAAAGTTTTCTACAGTATTCAACAGTTTGCTAAATCATATGTGTAACTGAAGAAAACATACAGATGATATAATGGATTGTACCCTCAAGGCATGACAACTTACTAAAATGTGCTTTGATTTATTGTTTAATAATCAAAGCCTCATAATCTTGATTGAGTCTCTATACTTCCCGAAAGCGCAAAGCTGAATCCACTGTTTAAAATGTGCCTTATCATGATGTAAACACATATTGTAAGTGTTTCAGCTCACTGAACTTGAAAGAATACCCTATTACAACCGAATGCAGATTTTCTGCTTTGTGTTATAAGGAATGCAAACACATCTTCCTGTGTTTATTTGTTGATGTATGTTGTTTTGAAAACAGCAATTCCTACTTTCACCTTCCATCATTTCATTATGGCTTGCTGCAATCCATTTTACTTTCGTTAGCAAGCCTTCCTATACATGTTCCTACTCACATGATTCTTCCTTCCTTCCTTCTTTTGAGATTATCACTCACCAAATAAACTAGCTTACTTCTTCTGGCTTCAATCCTGGATCCAGGATACCCCCAGATGTTATCAGACATAAATCACCATTGATTTAGTTGTGATGCCTCTGGCTGAATCCATCCCAGGTCAAAGCCTCGCTAAGCCAGCCAATTTTTGAAGTCAGAAGCTCCCCGACTTTGAAAGCGTGCCGGCTTAGTGAGGCTTTGACCTGAGATGGATTTGGCTAGATTTGGCTAAATCAGCAGCTATTTATGTCTGATAACATCTGGGGGGATCCCGGAGCCAGGATTGAAGCCAGAAGAGGTAAGCTGGCTTATTTGGTGGGTGATAAGATCCTTTCTTTCTTTCTTTCTTTCTTTCTTTCTTTCTTTCTTTCTTTCTTTCTTTCTTTCTTTCTTTCTTTCTTTCTTTCTTTCTTTCTTTCAAAAAACACAGTTTAGTTCTGTCCAGAATAATATGGTCTCTTGGAGTGATGCAGGGGTTGAAGTTAGAGGTAACCTATAACTGATGTAAGGACTTCCAGAATGGTAGTTATGTAAGTTTGTTGCAGAAAAAGTGAAAATTTTGTGGCATAATAAATTTTGTTAGTCTTTAAGGTACCATGTCATTGAAGGTCTAAATACTCTAAAGGCACCAAATACCATCTGATCTGGGAAGGTAAACAGGGTCAGCCTTGGTTAGTAATTGAGTGGAAGGCTACCAATGAATACCTGGTGTTTAGCTATATTTTGGAGGAAGGAACTGGGAAACCTACCTCCGAGTATTCCTTGCCTAAGAAAACCCTGTGAAATTCATGGGGTCACCATTAGCCAAGAGGCAATTAAAAGGCACATGCACATTCACACATACCATGTTTTTAGCCACTTTATATAGCCTTTCATAAACCACTTCATGTAGCAATCAGTGACTATACTCCATGAACTGCACTGCTGGGCAATCACAAATGATCAGGAAGTCCCTGTGCCTTTCAGCGGATTTATTTTTTTAAATGTTTTCTGCTACTTTTTTCATGGGCGATACTATTTTTAATATCTAGTGCTAACTAATGGTTCAAAGGGATACAGAATGTGATGGATTGCTTGATTGATATATGCCTTTTTTCTAAGGAGTTTATCACATGGGGAAGATTGGAAGTTTAAACTGGTAAGAACTCATGCTTATGCAGCATGTTAGCAGCAATTGTGCAAATGGTTTGCACACACAATGTGGAATCTGACAAGAAAGTGACATGAACCAGCAAATAGTCATTTTCAGGAAAATACCGTGATTTCATTTCTTCTTCATTCATGAATTCACTTTTTTTTTTTGCAATTACTGTAGTGTGAAAGCCATTTGCGGGATTCTTCCCATTTCTGTTCTTGTTGTCATATTTCCCATGGTTCCTTAGGGATAACAGTCAGGGATCTTAAAGGCACAGATGCTCAGGCAAAGGCAGAGGCACAGAGACACACAAGAGAAAAAGCTTGCCTCTTCCTCCTGCGCCTCTGTGTGTGTGAATGTCTCGCCTCCTCCAACCTGGGCTCTTAAAGGAGCTGCTGCTGAGGAAAATCAGGAACACAGCGGGGAGGGGAGGGGAGGGGGAGGGGGAGGGGGAGGAGAAAGAGAGAGAGAGAGAGAGAAGTTTGCTTCCAATGCTGCTTTGTCCTGCTCTTCTTCCCAGAGCTTTTGAAACAAATAGCTGATGCAAGGGCAGAGAGAGAAAGAGAGAGAGGAGAGTGAATGAATGCTTGCCTCCCCGTCTTCTGGAGCCAGCAGCAATCAACAAACTGTCCCCTTTAAGGACTTCAGCTTCCAGAAACTCAGACTATTGGCCAACATGGCTGAGGCTTCTGGGGACAGCCTTCCCTCCTAGCCACAGCTCTGAAAGTAACAGCTACTGAAGGATGCCTCTTCCCCACACTCCCCCCTTAGCCAGCACTCATTGTGTGAAAATCATTTGTACATTTGTTCACTTTTGCAGGATGCACATGCTTTAATCATTATCAGAATGGAGGCATATTTGGTCCTGTCATGTGAAAACCATTACTGCATTTGCATGCAAGCGCAGGTTAATCTTGGATTCTGCATGGGATAACAGCACTTCCATGTGAAGACCATTTGTGTAGTTGTGAGTTAATCGGGAATTCTTACCATTTTAAACTTCCAAATTTCCCCATGTGATAAGCTTCTTTAGTCTTATATTCTAAGGGCTATTGTACCTTAACATTGGAAAAGAAAGAGCCTCAATACACATTACAAATGTAGCTGTTTGATTCCAGTGTAACTGCTGTGGCTTCTTCCTATGGACAACTGAGATTTAAGCTACGTGCTGTGTATTTGAGTTGAATTTATGGTGATCCAACATATGAAAGATGGCCAACTTCTGACTCACTTCTTGTAAATTCAGGGACATGGCTTCCTCTGTTGAATCAATCTATCTGTTTTGTGGTCTTCCTCTTTTTCCTACTGTCCTCTACAGAGAACTATTGCCCTTTTGAAAGAGCCATTTCATCCAATGTTATGTCCAAAGTACAATAATCTCAATTTATGTCATCTTAGCTTCTAGAAAGAAATCTTAGATCAGGTAATTATAATCCTCTACTGAACTTCATTGAACTACAACAGTAGAGCTGTCTTGCAGAGAATTCTAACTACCTCGCAAAATGAAAATCCCAAGATTCAGCAGGGTCAGGCCATGGCAATCAAAGTGATATTAAGCACTGTAAGTGTAGCATGAATATGTCCTGAAACTTATTAAAAATATTCCTTAACTATATTCAGACTGAAGCCAGTACTCTAAATAATTTTTCATAGATGTAGTATTACTCAGGTCCCACTAAGGGAAAGCACCTACAGAGCTATAAATGAAATGGAATGTGATAGAAGGAATGCATGGTTTGGTTTTGTATCCATTGATATATAATTGTTTGTTTTCCTTCTGAATAAAAGACAGGTATTTCTCTCTATTTGGACCTCTGGATTATTTTTTTTACAATGGGATAAGTTTTTCTGTACTGAGCTTTGCACAAATTATTTTTCTACTACTTTGGGAAGATTTTACTTTTTTTTTCATAAGAATGATCCTTTGTGATTATTACACAAAGCCAATCGTTTTCCTTGGCTAGGTTGTTGACTTGTGAGTATCTCTGAATAAATATAGGCTTCCTAGATTTTACTCCCTTCTCTCTTTTTTAATTAATTAAAGACTTATATGTTCAGACAGGCTTTTAAAACTGAATATTTTTAAAGGACCAGCTTGGGCTGTTATATTGTTTTAATGTGTTTTAAACATTTTTTATCTTTTTAAACTGTATTTGCTATTTTAACATACACTTTATTTTAATATTGTAGTAATTTAACTCTGTTATAATATACTATTTTTTGTGTGATTTCATTGTACTATTTCCATATTTCTGCTGAAATGGAAAGAATTTTAATATAGTGATAAGGGAAGAAATATTGGCATATATATCATGTCATGTTAAAACCATCTAAGCATCACCAGGTGATCCTACTCACCATTGTCATAAGCTCAGAGGTATAAAAGACTGGTAATAGTTTCACTTTATGAGGCTATATTGAGGTCAGTCTGGTCATACAACACTTTATTCCTTGAGATGCATCAGGAAAATTATGGTGAAAACCAGTTCAAAAGGTGGCAATGCAGTAATAGTCAACAAATTAATGTTGCCCACAGAAATTTAATTGCCAAATAATGGTCCAAATCTTTGACTAATAACACCAGCTGTTAATATCTGAGGACAAGTTGTATCTATCTTTCATTTATGAAACAAAGAACCAAAATTGGTTGTGTTATATAGCAAAGTCATTTATCTTCTTTTTCTCAATAGATAAAGGATAGAGGCTAGATAGATGATAGTTGGATAGTCTTTTTCAAAAACTAGCTTCACCTTGTCCATAGGATTATTCAATAAAATTAATGGCTGACATTTTTCTTTCATTGATGCCACCTCAGCATAACACTTGGGGTTGGGTGGCAGTCAAACAGAATTCGACTGCAGCCACATATTTTCAATCTTGAAGTGTAAAGGCAATATTTTCAAAGGTAAGGAGAGAGAAACAGCTGGCACTTGCTGCCATTCTTGTTCAGTTATCACATGGTTAAACATTTCATGTCATGTCTTGATTGTAGACATAATCATTCACAAACTGTTAGGAAACCAATTTGGGAAGAGAGCTAATGTTCATGGGCAGACTAATGGCTTAAGTTCTTACCCCAATTTACTTTCTTTCTTCTACTATGCCAACATCTCTTCTCTCTCTTAGGGTCTGCATTGTTTCAAGGTCTCTTCTTTCCTTTGTCATAACATTTGCACTGCATGTGGATATGGCTTCAATTGCATGAGTAAACATTGCATCTCAGAGCTATAACTGAATATGTGCCACCTAAAAAGAATGGTTATTTTAATACTACTATTTCTATTTATTATTGATTTTGAGATATTTCTAGACTGTTTTTCAAATGGATGGATTCAAGTGTAGCGTATATTCATTT